AATGAAGACAAAAACTCAGAATATGACACACATCCAATAATACCTTTGATATTATTTTTCTCATTTTATTCTGTTCATAAATTATCCATGACTAATATGAGATTTTTCCTTGTTTGTACAGACTTCCTTTGAAATTATTTTCAGTCGATGGCTTTCAGTATGCACATAGAATTTATTCATAAAAAGCTGCTTTTGATGGTTTCTGATTTATCTTGGCTGTATACAAACACATACACACTGGTATTTCAACGCCAGCTCACATGATCTGCAAACATTTGCAGAGATTGTAGTACACATTTGTTTTTTGAAAAAGCAGAGCTATTGCTCATATTCAGTGTGTTACAGAATCAGGATTTTCAGAAGACAGGATTTCGCGCTTTCTAGTGTTTCACAGGTAATGCAGGAAATCCAGAGTCCTGATGATAGTGGTTTGCATACACACCAGCAGCTAGTAATGCTTTGGCTGGTAGAGATATGGATAAGGGAGTCTGATGGACCACCTTAAGATATCAGCTAAAGGAACGTGAGTCCTGCTGCAGACATACTCACTTTCACATAAAAACTTTCTTGAGGAAAACAACCCAAAAGGAAGTGGGTAAAACYTGGCCAAAGCAGTTCCTTTTCAAAGCAAAGCATATTCTCTGCAGTGTTTGCCACACCCTGATGAAGAACGTCAGGTTGAGAAACTTAAGTGAGTTCAGCTTTGTTTCCAAAATAATACTCTTTGCCTTTAATCAGAGAGATGTTAAACAGGTTGAGCTCTGCAAACTCAGCCTGGAAACATTCTCATTAAGTACAATAGAGATGAATTGCTGCCACTGCAGATTTTAGTTCTTGTTAGAATTGCTTTGCAAGACTGCAGCTAGAACTGCRGGGTTTGTGTTTCTTTCCCTTGGTGTTATGAAGGATAACAGAGCAAAATATTAGTCTGTTACATTTTCTTTCACCCCTCCCTAGTTCTTGTGAATTACCCTTCCTCAAATTGCTGTACAATTTACTGCAGTGTGAAAATGATCAGTCAGCAAGAACCTCTAGATAATTGTTGGTGTCTTTGAACTGGCAATAAATATTTGTTTTTCTTTCCAATGCTAGCTGTGTATTTAGCTTCAAGCTAAGAGGAAAATTCGAGGAAGTATGTTTTTATTGATTATACAAGGAACAGTACTTCTGAACACTCTGGGGCTGCTTTCAGAAAATGTCACCCAAAGAGAGCCTCAGCAGTTTATTTGGTGTGCGGGTACCACATCAAGAAAAACATGAGAATCTTATTGTGAATGTTTTCCCATGTTTTGAAACACATTCACCAGAAACATGAGCATTTGTATTTGTCATGTGGGAAGTAAAGTTCACATGCTATTTTCAAGACACAGCAGCTCTCTTTCTGAAGGCACCATTTGGATAATAAAAGATGGCAGGCTAAGGACATGCTAGATTTGGTGGTTCAAAGGTTTGGCTCAATTTACTGCTGGGCAAGAACATTTGTTTCTTTCTGTGTGAATCTCAGACTGTTCACACTTTTGTAAATTGTGAAATGTGTGAGGGAGTAAAATCGGGAAAGCGGGAAACTGGAGATATTCTTAATCCTGGATRTCTTATTAAGTCCATCAGCTTCCCTGTGGCTGTAGCCAGATATAGGATATTCAGAATGTGTTTATATGGTGYAATGCAATAAGTCTGTGTTATTATTGAATTCTGTCTCAGCTGATTATGGTGCTCATAAGATACCATGAGCTCCGTCCTGGCATGGATGGGCTCTTTMTGGTCTCTAAATTAGCTCGGGGGTCTTCTCACACAGCAGGGAGTTTTAGAAGCCGAGCACTTGCTTTCATTTTCCAGTGGCCACTTATTACTATATTCACTTTGGATAGCCCAGACTCTCACAAATCATTGCTGACTGACACACAAAACACTGTTATCAGAAGCACTGTCCTTGCTCTGCTTGAGATAGGTGTAAAAACAGGGGTTCCTCCAGCCTGTTTGGGGTAGCAAGKTCTCGTTTAAGACAAAATTGATTAGAAAATTGCCAGTTAGAAGGAGTTTTGAAGAACAGATAGTGTGTAGCTGCCCACAAACCCTTTCATAGTGTTCATTGGTGTTCTTTCAGCTGGTGGAACACTGAAAAAGGGAGAAATAGGGCTGGCACCGAAGAGTTACAGGATCCTGCTGGTATTCAAGGACACTTCTGTATAAACACACATTTMTTTTCTCACAAGCACATTTTAGCTCTTAAACAGACAAAAAATCACCAGCATTTTTGGGTCTGAGAAAACAGATCTGAAAATTTGCTGAATATTTTCACAGACTCAGTTTGGTATCCTGTAACCTGCTGCTCCCTGTTTCAGTTTTTGATTTGGTGATAGGTGGGACTGGATCCTTTCAGCTTTCAACTGCCTTGTCTTTACCACCAAGCATACTTTGAGTTGGTGTTGCACCTGTGTGGATTCTTTGGCCTGGAGTTCACATTTTTAAGAAAAAGCTTTGCAGATAGAACAATTTATTTATACTTTTACTCGTGTTAAAGGAAAAAAAACTGCCCAACATTGGAAGATAAGAAAATATTTGGAACCAAATTAGTCACTTGCGTGTCAGTGTTTTTTGACTAATTTAATTCTTCTAATTATGACAGTTTTAAGGAATTTTAAGTCTTAGTTCTRTTGGTAAAGAGCTAATCTACTCTAGTATTCCTGCCTGGCGCAAGGAAAAATAAATATCTTGAATATAGAAATAGTTACACTTATTGCTACACAAAGCTTTTGTTATCTTTTACCCTAGAAAGGTAAGGTGTTTACACGCTGTGATCTTATTTTGCTCATAACTGCTGCTTTTGGTAAAGGACAGACAAACTYAGAATATTGTTCCTCAGATAGCCCCCTCAGAGACTCACTCTTGCATACGGCTCTACTGCCTTACTTGGAGCTGTGTACTGTTTTCCTTCCAATGTTGAGGTACTTTTTTTTTTCTCTTTTGTACAAGTGAGAGCCACAGAGCTGGCTGTCAGTGATTGAGCAATGCCTCCAAATGGTGTAAGCACCCTGCAACAAGCGTGTATCTTCTTGCCACCTAGCCAGTGCCTAGCGGGCTGGGTGTGTGCCCAATCCGCTTCCATACAGTCACAGCATTCAGAACCCGACTTCAGGAAAACACCTGGGTGAGCCTGGCAGAAGAGGGAGGTGCTGGCATGGGCARAGTGCCACCACACATGGCTGCAGCCACCAGGCACAGCTCTCTGAGTCCCCAGCCCAGGCCATGCTCCCACCCCAGGGGTTGGGGCTCTACCCCCAGCTGCTCTTGGGAAGCAAGRCTGAGCTTTGACAGATGGTCTCACAGTGGGTGAGGTGGAACCCCAGGATGCCTGGGGGCTCAGAACTTGTTGGGCGGCAGCTGGGCTCTGAGTCCTCAGGGAAAGGRCACCCCTTTGCCTGTGAGTTTTGTATCTGACCACAAGCAGTTGTGCATTTAAGAAAAACCATCACCTCTAGATATTCTTGTCATTYCACCCTTTTGCCAGAAGTATCCAGAACTCTTGTATCCAAGAGCAGTGAGGTCATCATTGCTGAGAAATTTCTCTTTTGGCCAGGTGCCCTTTTTTTTTTCTGTTTTAAAGGGGTAACAGACACGCAGGGAGCAGGAAGGCAATGGACATGAAACTGAAGATGCAGTGTGATAGCTGGAATGGAGCAGGGATCACAAAGCAGGGAGAATGCTAAAACACAAATAAAAGGGAAATTGGTTTTGATGGACTGAGGGGTAGAAAATGATAGGTGGAAAATCCTGATCCATTTTTCTTGCCTCGTAGTAGTAGTGGCGTGGGCCCTGGGGAAAGACAGATTAAACACCAAATTGTCACTTACTGGGCACAGGACGGTTGCATTCGTGCTTACCTGACTCTGGTCAAGAGAAAGGCAGGACACTTTGCATTTTATTACTTCCATGCTTAAAGCAAACAACTTGGTAGGTTGCTTACTCCGTTTCAGAGGGAACTCTTACTGAACAGCGTGCACTGCATTTAAGCTGAATTGTAATTATTGTCAGGGTAGTTTGGGCTGTGATAATTTTTTGGCACTGCTGCTGCATATATTTGGTTAGAGGCCAACACTTGACAAAGGCTTAGTGGGTAGGTGAGGGGATGAAGTCTGTATATGCCTAGCAAACTTTAACTGCTTTTTCAGTTTAATATGCAATTTAAAATGTGTCAAAGTGGGTTTTTTACATCCAGCAGAAGAGACACTTTGATCTCTTTGAGCAGTAGTTGCTCCTCAAATCTTGAAATATTAAATAAAAACTATTTTTCCAGTTGTTATGCCAACACAATATGCTTTAACATGTTATAATATAAAGTTTTATAATTCCAAAGTGAAGGAATTAATATCCTGAAAAAGCTTTTTGAATTGAAGCAATTCTAAATTTGGACCAAAATCAGAGGTCCAATTTCCCTACAAAACAGATTCCAAATCCTTAGCTCCGTTTAGGACACAGAGCTAAACTAAGGCTGACAGGAAGAAATCACTGTATTTTGATATTTATGGGCAATTTCCATATTTTTAAGTTTGTCAGATTGGTAATGCTTATATAAACACTTTGTTTCAAAGGAAGATTTTTATTAGTTTCAGGAACAGGTTGATTCTCCTTGTCTGTGCAAAACAAAGCTGGTTTATGGCATCTGCTGAGGTAACATTTGCTATTGAAGGATAGTGTCCTTCTTACATCTTCAGAGCCATTTTTATCTTGATTCTGAATTGTAAAATTAAAGAGTAAACTAGCCCTCATCGCATTCTGTATGAGAAGACAAAGCTGGAATTCTTATGTATTCTGCACTTAGTGCATGATTTCTTGTGGAACTGAAATGTTCACCTATAGAGGAGAGAAGACTCCCATGCTTTTTTTCTTGGGAGATGATCCTCTTCACAGGTTTTAAAATTAACTTTTAATTACTAACCAGAGAAAAACAGCTCTTGCTTTTGTTTTTATTCCTTTCTAATGTATCTTCCTTCTGATTTCAGCCTGGGGAAGAGCTGCTGCTGCCACATACCTGGTTGGCTTTCTGCTTCTAGTCATCTGTTTTGCACTGGCCATCATAGCATTTGCCATTGACACGCTTCGGTTCAACTTCATCCGTGGGATCGGAGGCTTGCTTTTCGTGGCTGGTAAGGCAGATATATCCATACTGGAACTGATATTTCCCTCAACTGATTCCATACCCAAGTCTCTGCCTCTGTGCACCTGAGCTCTCTATGAAAAATTAAAGTCTGTCACGACAGTGGATCGATTTTCAGATCCTCCAAAACATKGATGGGTTTAACCACAGGGATTATGAAGGAAGGCAGTGGTGCTGGGAGTTAAACATTTTTTTGTTTTCTCTTGTCTCTTCAGCTGTGTTCTCTATCATGGGCCTGGTCATTTATCCAGTGAAGTTCTCATCTGAAATTGAAATGACAGGAATCAATATGTTCAGCTGGGCCTACGGCTTTGCCTGGACCACCGCCATTATGGAAATATGCTTGGGATTCTTCTTCTGCTGCCTTCCTAATTATGAGGATCAGATCTTGGGTAATGTCAAGCCCACATATTTTTACTCTTCCCCATAAGCACCAGGAAAAATGTATCCATATTCCAGAGATACCTGACAAACTAGCTATGTGTTTCAGAACATTGTCATCAGATGTTCTTAGAAAAGGCTGGAAACTTTTCTAATGTGTGTAGAAAAATGGCACTGGCATCTGCAATAAATTTATCTACTCTATTCTGGACCTTCAAATCTGACATGGGTTGGTTAGATAAAGCATAAATGTTAAAAACACTCAGTCTTCCTCATTCATTCCCACAAGTGGGATTGATGTGTATTCCATTGCATCTTAAATACATTCTTAATTGTAATTAAATTCAGAAAAATCTATTAAATTGGCAATAAACAAAACAATGAATATCATCTTCCTGAAGGAAAACAACTCACAAAAATCCCATTTTGTATGTATCATCTTTAATCTGAAGATTTTGTACATTTTTCAAGAAGTCAAATACCTTTATGCACTGACTGCCAAAGCAGTAAATTAGTCAGCCAGAACCTCAGGTCTTTGCTTCTATTTTACATTCATTCACTTAATCCGTAAGGGCAGAGTAAAGAAAGGATTAAAACCCCCTATCAAAACCAGCATCCTGACTTTCCCTCATCCATGTGGAATATATTTATTTCTAAATATTTGCAAGAGTAAGCAASGAACACCAGTAAACCCTTAAAAATTCGGTTATGCCATTGCTGGTGTCAGTACAGAGTGGGCAGAGGCAGAGGGGATTTCAAGCCACCCCTGCAACCTGAGACCTGGTTTGATGAAACTCCTGGTGTGGCTTTCTTCTTGGGTCTCTGACACTTTTTTTTATGCTGTATCAAAATCTATGATTTTAAAATGCTTTGTTATACTGGTCCAGCCTTTTTATCCAGTGTGGAAAGGTCAGGTATGAGTTCCCTACACCTCAGGAGCTGAGCTGGATCAGTGTGAGTATTAAACAATTGCTAAAAGCCCCTTTTTTATTCATTTGCTGTTCTGAACTATTTTAAAAGTGGAAATTGTGTACTGTCATATGTAACTGTAAAATGCATAAATGGCCCTTCCCATCTCATATGAAAGCTCTCACAGATAAAATCCCATCATAAAACATCTTCCAGCATCTTATACTCCACAAAGCCTCAAGCCTCAATATACTGCAGGCAATGAAGTATACTCAAGACTCTGCTGGTTTCTGCCTTTTTAAACCCAACTTTATAACATTCCATTAATGGGTAATATGGAAAAAATGGGTAATAGGTGATGTAGAAAAGGAGTCTCATCTAAATCCTTAACTACTGATGTTTATTAGCATGTAACACATTGCAATTTTGTAACTATRTGTACTATGAAAAGCCCAGTGCACCTTGCTCCAACCAATAAGAGGTRGAATTTTTTTTTTTCTAAAAACCTCTCAGTATCTAAAATTAATAAAGGTGCAGGGCTTCACCTGGGTTGTTTGGATATTCTTGGTTGGTTGGTTGATTTTTTTGTTTAGGCAGTTAACTCCGTTAATTTTTTCTGGAATGTCTCCTAACTTGGATCAGTGAGCGCAAGAGATGGGGAGAATCTAAACAATGGAGAGAGTATATGCAACAAGAATAGTTAGAMAAGAACATGTAAATACTTTTTAAAAATATTTCCTAGCTGGAARAAAATAGAAATGAAATACAGTTGAGAACACAGTTTGTATAAAATGACTTGCAATTCTTTGTGTTATATTATCCATTCATGAAAAAAAACCTTCTCATAAATATTTTCATTTCAYTATGCTTATTACACCTAATAAAAGATGGAATCTATGTGTTGTTTCAAAAGTGAGTCCTAAATTTTGTTCTCTACTGAGAGTGGTGAAGTATGGAAGCCCCCAAAGCCTCCTCAGGCACCACCTTGAAGTACGTGAGTATGCTGGCTGGAGTTTGACGTCAGCATCACAACTGCAGTTTGTGTTATTTGTCAGTCCCATGCTGGCTGTCTCCTGAGGCGCTGTGCACAAGCACATGAGAACGGTGGACACTTTTGGTCCAYTCTGTTTGCTTATGGGCTTGTGGTGCCGAGTAGCAGCACACATGGTGCTGTGCTGTGATGTGCTGCAGCTCATCTTGGCACGGGTGGTAACGCACTTCTGTTCACTGAATGGAAACCAACACGGTGCTGCTCAGTGGTTTGGCTCCAACAGATCTGGCAATCCCCTGAGGAAGCTAAAGAGAACTTCACCAGCCACCTTTTGTATTTACCTTTTCTTTTGTCTTAGTTGGATGCTGACAGAACATCTGGAGGTGGGGAAAGGTGCACAAAACAAGGTTTAGCAGTGTGACTCCAACCTTGACGAGACAGCCAAGCATAATTAAAAGCAAAGAAAATCTCCGGCGATCATCCCCCTTTCTCTCTCCTCTCCTTGCTGATCTCAGCAGCTTCACCACCTCCTCTCTTCCCTTCTCCTTCTGYTCCTCCTCTTCCCTAAAGGTGCCTGAGCAGTGACAGGACTGGCGACTGCAGGACACAGCCCCAGTCCCCATTCCCCACTGCTCCATTTCCCTTCCTGGGAGAGAGGAGGAATGAAGCAATAGCTGACCCCAGCACAGCATCAGGGAGGGTAGCCTGGCTCCCTGCCCCAGGCCCTCACTGGAAAGGCTTTCCTTTAAAGAAAAAGATGGGTGGGTGGGTATCCAACAAGCAGAAGTATAACTGGCACTAGTGCTCAGGTGAAATCCTGCCTTTAGGGTAGTGTGCTTCCAGTCATGTCAGGCCACTTCAACACAGATTCTAGAATAACAGTGAGAAGAAGGATAAAACTGTTTTACAGATGCCAGTGCAGTTTCCTGTGACYGCTGCAACAGGTAAAAACAGCATGCAAAATATAATTGGTTCTGGCACAAAAGGAAGCCGAATCCAGAAGCCAAGGATGTGCCTCAATTTATTAGATTATTAACTAACGGTCAACTGCTAGGTTATGAAATAAATTGTTAAATTAGACTACAATTTAAGGTCAAGTACAGTGTTAACTAACAAAAATTTTAGGTTAATTTGCGCTAAGTCATAATCAGAAAGCTTGGATTTTCTAGCAAAGGAGAAATTAGAGGAAGAGAAGACATCTCCTTAGTTCTGCATCTCTGTTTGCCAGGGTTCTTGYTTCAAGTCTTGTCTCTAAGAGAAAAGGCACTTAAACACTGAGAGCAGCACAATACAGCACTCRAAGTTTCATTGTGCCCAACGGCAATGATGAAGAAAGAGCAGGGAAGAACAGATGTCTGAAGCTTTTGGGAACATTAGGTCTGCTAMAACAACAGAAATAAAGATGACTGCCAAAGGCATTGCTGCTATTCCTGTCAAATTAAGAATTAGGGAAACATCCTCCAACAAACAAGTTTTATCTAATTCAATTTTACTACTGAAAAGCAGTGGAGAAATTGTGCTGGAAACAAGTGGAATGTCAAGCAGCCCTACWGGTAYAAAATGAAACAAAAGAAAWAATGAAAACTTCCTGCTGGTAAGTTAATATGCTCAGTTTAATTTCTGATGTTTCTGCCRGAGCTTGAACAACATGTGGGCATCTTGATCTTGTCAATTTTTTCTGCAAATATGTCCATATTTCACTTTACATTTTTCAGGCAMCTGCCATTTAGTTTAAAAATACATCCTGCTTAATCAATTATTCAAATGCAATCTGGTTTGCCATTGTATTTGTCATGCATATTTTGTTGTAGGAACTAATGACAAGACTGAAGTTTTGACCCCATTGACATCACTTCCAAAACATGTGTTGATTTTCTTAGTGTGACATTTCATTCTTGAGGTGCAACCCCCTTATTATACATGTGTTCGGGATCAATAATATCTCTAATGGRTTCTCCATTCAGCAGCTCTGTTTACTTCTGAAATAAGACACTGGTATGTAATGTATAAGGTAAGAAAGAAGAGTTACATCTTCTTACAACATAATTTCCAAAATAAAGGACWCTTCAATGTGTGCAAGATTAAATCACATTTTGTTAGTTGCACAACATGGCCACATCAAAAAGATTCATGTTTTCTTTTGACACATCTCAGTTGTGTGACAGTTATTATTTCCTGTAATTCAATCTCTTGGAATGCTTCCTTGCACATTTTAACACCCATTTCTGTGTGTTCTGAAGATTAATAGATTTAAGAGTGAAACGATCAAGCTTGTGATAAGTGAGAAGGGGATTGGCTCATTTGCACATTGTCACAAAGCAGGAATCAAACCATCTTGCTAGAAGGATAGTGATCTGAGCAAAGAGTTCCTTCTGAATCATATTGGAAATTCAGACCTAAGAATTAGAAGGCTGCTATGGAAGTAATAATGAGGAAAGAGAGATTAAGTCATTTCCTTTATCTTTTTCCAMACTGTCAAAATACTGCTTTTGCCAGAAATTTTGTTTTCAATAAAAAAATTGTTACTTTGGTGCAGCTCTATTGGAATGTCTGGGCCTTGATTTTATCTGCAAAGTTCTTCAGTGCTGAGTGTCAAAATCCAAACAAGCACCTGAATAACCTCAAGGCTGCAGATGATTCCAATGGAGCCGTCAGAGATGTTTTCATAGATGGCTCCTTAATTGACTTCATACATTAGAGTTCATTAGCCCACCCGTACATGCTGGTTTCACAGATTTCCTGCATGTGAAGTGATGTAGTATTTTTTTTTTCAGTTTTGCATGTCATTTTTAATTATCAGAGTGAAAATGTGGATGTATTATAGGATTTTGCATGTAACTGCTGGGTGTGAGAAAAATTTACAGGAACAACTTTCAAAATTGTTTTACTGTTTAAAATAAAGTGTGAGATTAGATCAAACTGCCCTCTCTTGGGTAGCTTTTATGATAATATATCCTTTTACTTGYGCCATGGTTTGCCCAAGCCATCTGTTCTTTTGTAAAAACAGTTTTGTGAAAACCTACTCTAGTATCATACTGAAAAGAAATTATATTAGGTATCCATGGAAAATCCATCATAAAACCTTTAAATAGCCCTTGAGTGTTCGAATGCAGATCAAACAGAGAGGCAGATGTTGCCTGTAGGATTTTTCCACAGATAACATAAACCCAGAAGAAGATTAATCAACTATTGACTGTAGACCTGGCTTGCATATCCAGCTCCCTATTTCTTGCAAAGTAACTGGGGGCCTACAGCCTTGCCCTCAGGAAAACATCAAACATTTGAGTAAAAAAGCAAACAAAAAAAAAAAAAAAAAAAG